TGGCGTCCTCTACCCCAGCAGCGTCCTTGCTCCTAGTAGTAAGGCCACTAGTAGAGTCATGACTATCAATTTCAAGATGTTCCATGATTCCTCGGACTCTCTGACTCCTTTTTCTTGTGAGTCTCGGGCATGTATGTCACTGACTGGGAGAAATTCCTGGCCTGCTGAGCTGGAACTGCCCAGGCTGGCTACGCTGAGGTTTGAGTTTGACAAGTCCTGGGAGCACTGCAGCACACCAAGATATGCCCAAACTGACCAACGCCGCGGAGCGCAGTGTTTATGGCTAGCTATAGCTGCTAGCTTGTTGCATATGAAACGTCTGGCCCCTGGCCGCCCCTTTTCACCAAGCTATGCCAGGCGGCTAGTGGAAGTCCAGGCTGCGCTGGTTCCAAGCGAGCCTGGAGCTTCAGGATTGGCAGTTCTTTCAGCAAAGGTGCACAGCAAGCACGTGAGGACATCAGGCCTTGTCAGAACTTGCCGACGCGCCTGGATCGAATCAAGCAAGGGCTCATTCCACTGGGTCTTACGGTCTTATGTAATTAGGTGTCGTAACTTGCAGGATGGCACAGTAAAACCTTGAATGTTGCACACAACAACTGGCCATGATGGCAAACAAACGCAGTGCTTAAATACCACGAATGCCTACTACAGCTCCATTTGCGTCACCTCTTCTCACTCCGACTACTCAAGTGCATCAACATCTCCCACGTTTGCCCTTCGAAAGCTCGGCCAAGCCCTTCATGGCTAGGGGTGAACGGAAGAGAACGACGTCACGACGTCACCACGTCACGGCATCACATGAGGCAAAAAGATTAAGAGGTGATCCTAGTAGCGTCCGATCGCTCCTAGCAGTATGGCCAGGAGCCCCGATCGTCGCGTCCTTGCTCCTAGTAGTGATTCCCTTTGTTCCTAGTAGCTTCTTGTTACTAGAACAAGATTGATGAGATGGGAAGAGGTGAACTGATAGGTGACATGCCATGCTCGCGCCAATCAAACGAGGTCAGCAATGCAAGAGTTTCTTGAACAAATGAAACAAAACCAAAACAACGTGTGAGCACATCAGGTGTCACAAATGGGATGAGTGTCACGAATCATCCAACAGCCAGTTCTCAACAGCACTTGTGCCTGCCTCGAGCTGGCCATGCGGCTGGGTCGATGTGCACCTCGGACGTCCGGAGTCCGGGCAGACCTTCGGGGCGCGGAGTCCGGTGTCGATCGGTTTCCATCCGAGCTGCGTGGCGGACAGAGCCGGCCGCTCCGGCCGCTTGCTCTCGTTGCAAGTGGCTTTTCGCTTTGGCCACCTGGCAAGCCAGGCTGGGCTAGCCAGGCTCATCTGCTA